GTTTCTTACTCATTCTAGATCCCTCTGTAATAACCCACGTTACCCTTGGAGCTGCCTTGTCCCACATCACCACAGTGGTGACCGCCAAGCTAATGGCCCCACCAGTCATCGACCTGTAACCAGAGAGCCAGACTGAGCGGGGAGAAATGTACAAATGCCGGTCATACATTATTTATACATCTATCAGTTGCAGTCTTGCCAGCAGGGAAAGAAGAAGAGAATCGTAAACACATCTGTTTAATTTAAATCCAATCAAGTGGTGAAGCCCTCTGGGTTGAGGGTGGGGGAGACATTGAGAATTAGGTTTGTAGAACTTGGGTCCAGGGGTCATGGGTCGAGGGACCAACCTGAGTGGAAGGCAGAGGCTATCCAAAAGCGCACTGCACACCCATCAACAGCACATAGGAATCAATTAAAAAGCTGACCTCATTGCAGTCCCTAAGACAGAGCCACCCCCATCTGCTGGGGATCATCCAAGTTATCTGCTCTGGGACAGTCCTCTTCTTCTTGGGAAGTGGCTTTGAAGCCCAAGAAGATTAGAATTTTAAAAATAAAGATGGTGGAAGTACATGGAAACCCACAGTAATTATACATTTATGCTAAGTGTCAGGTGGATCAATTGCTGTGTGTTGGTGCAGTAAGTCCTAGATCTGTGATGTTTACGAACACTTGGCTGCTAGCATTTCTTATGTGTGTGGCCGAGTAATTGACTTTAGTTGAAAAAAAAATTTTTTTAAAGATTTTATTTATTTATTTGAGAGAGAGAGAATGAGAGACAGAGAGCACGAGAGGGAAAAGGGTCAGAGGGAGAAGCAGACCCCCTGCCGAGCAGGGAGCCCGATGCGGGACTCGATCCAGGGACTCCAGGATCATGACCTGAGCCGAAGGCAGTCGCTTAACCAACTGAGCCACCCAGGCGCCCGACTTTAGTTGAAATTTTAATTTAAAAATTTAAGAGAATTTGGCCATGTCTGTAAACATTATCAGAATATTTAAGAGAACTTAATATTCACTCTGTTTAAGTGTTAGTTTTTTAGAGCAGAAAGTATTCTCTGAAATCCTTGAAAAAGGCTTGTTTCTTAGAGGTATTTGTAGCATTTATAAGAGAATCAAATTCATTAAATTTGTAGATGCAGTTTAGATTATCTAAGGCAGTGTTCTCCGGTAGAAACACAACGCAAGCCACATAGGTCATTTATAATTTTCTAGTGGCCATGTGTTTTACAAATCAAAAAGGAATAGACCAACTTAATTGTAACAGTAAAATGTATTTAACTCAACCTATGCAAAATACCATTTCAACATGTAATGCATAAACAAGTTATTAATGAGATACTTGACGTTCTTTTTTTGAACACATCTTCAAAATCTGCTCTGTGTGTTACCTTTCCAACACTTGTGCGCTCAGACTACCACGTTTCAAATGCATATTCTGGTGGTGGCTGTATGGGATATGACAGATCTAAGGGCACTCAATTACGTGCATTTGTGAGTGGTATTTGTTATTTAAGGAAGCTTACTCCGTTCGACCTGATCTGATGAAATATTAATCAAAGGCTCCCTGAGAGTCACTGTTAAAAATTACTGGACTTATAAATAAAACGATTTTTGGATATTGAATTTACAAGTGAAGGGAAAAACCCGATTTTTATTTTTATTTATTTATTTATTTATTTATTTATTTATTTTAAAGATTTCATCTATCTGACAGAGAGAGACACAGCGAGAGAGGGAACACAAGCAGGGGGAGTGGGAGAGGGAGAAGCGGGCCTCCTGCTGAGCAGGGAGCCCGATGCGGGGCTCGATCCCAGGACCCTGGGATCATGACCTGAGCTGAAGGCAGACGCTCAACAACTGAGCCACCCAGGCGCCCCAAAAGCCTGATTTTTAAAAATTTGTTCGTTTAAGAAGCTTTTTTTAGAGTAACCACAAATGGCCTTCCTAGTACATGAAAGCAGTTCCCCAGGACCTCACCGATCATGGGCCACTTGGAACTCCTCACGGCCCTTCGGGGAAAGGTCGGGTTATTTGTTACTATTTTGCACACAGAATGTTAGATCTGACCGAGCCCTTAGGGGTTTTCTGCCCAAAGCACCCATTTTCACTGGCGCAAAAGCCAGATCAGAGAAGAATGCATGGTGAATTAGACCGGGCCCAAGCAATACTCTGGTCTCCTGACCGCACCCCGTCCTCCCCAGTCAAGTGTTTCAAGTTCATTCTCTCTGCCTCTTTGTCCCCAGTTGGCTGATCAGGAAACTGAGGCACAAAACTGGAGGGTAGGGGGACAAACTGGGCCTGGACCCAGGCCTTCAGGGAGCACCAGCTGAATTGGAAAGTGTGGTCCTTGCCCTGGTCATTCAACAGCACACACCCAAGCCTGAGGAGAGAACAGCCCAGAACACAGGCCAGCCAGGCCAGAGAAATAGCCGTGTGAGGCCGCGGATGGAGCCTGGCGCTGGGACTGCAAAGGAGAGCAGGCAAGGGGAGGCCTTGGCCGGGACTGCTGGGGTGCAGAGGGCCAGCCTGCACCTGCCTATGGCCCCAGGGCACAGCCTGATAACCCCATCAGGGCTCCATAGCTCTCAAGCAGAAGGCCCTGGAACTCCCTTGTGGGCCTCATTCTCCTGGCCCCTTTTCCTCCCTCCTTGTTCTCTGTTGTCTTTCTTTCCTTTTCTTTCTCTCCTGGGAGGCCCTCACTTCCTTTCCCCAACCTGATCTGCCCCACACACTGATTTTGCCAAGGAGAACCCTGGAGCAGATCTGGGTCCATCTTGCCCACCGAGGGCCCGGTTCTGCCGGGGTTGGGGTCTGCTGGACCTGGGTGGAGGGAAGGACGGCTCGGGCAGGTGGGTTGGGAGGGGGGGAACGGCCTCCCCACATCCGCTCGCTCTGGCCCTCCCCGCCCCACTCCTAGGGCTTTAGAGCACAGTTTCCTTTGGCCTGCATGTCCTTCCTGCCAGGCCCTGGTTCTCAGCAGGAGGACAGACACCATCGGGGAACACTCAGAGGCTTTAAGGACGCAGCGTTTAGTGCTATGAAATCTCATGGCAAAGAAATTATTCTCTGCTCAAGTGCTCTCAGTCCCCCTGGAAAGTCAAGGAGAAAATGACAACTTGGGGGCAAGGGGTCTTTATCCCCGTCCCCTATCCCCCCTTCAACAGAGAACACAAGTGTAGGCTTCAGGCTCCAGGGTCTTTGCATCCTTTCCACTTTTTTTTTTTTTAAAGATTTTATTTATTTATTTGACAGAGTGAGAGACAGCGAGAGAGGGAACACAAGCAGGGGGAGTGGGAGAGGGAGAAGCAGGCTTCCCGCTGAGCAGGGAGCCCGATGCGGGGCTCGATCCCAGGACCCTGGGATCATGACCCGAGCCAAAGGCAGGCGCCCAATGACTGAGCCACCCAGGCACCCCACATCCTTTCCACTTTTTGCTAACACGTAATAGAAATTGGTTTCCATCCCCACTTATTTTTATGCTTACCTTCACCTTATACTTCTGACACATGATACCAGTTTTCCACTTAACAGTAGTGACATAAAGTTTCCTTTCAAAACTAGTATTAGTAACAAGTGAGGCCATTGACTATAAATGCAGTTTTAGAAACACAAAGTAAATATCTGTACTGGGAGTGGAGTGGGCCAGGCAGGAGTGTCAGGAAGGGATGAAAAGGACTCAGGTGTATGGACCTTGGCTCCAGGAGCCCCTTCATCTCACCCTGCTGAGCTCTGCTGGGGCCCTGGAGTCCCAGCTGCTGTCAGGCACCACTCCAGGCCAGTTCCCCGGGGCCGGCCAGCAGACCTTGCCCTCCTAGACTTTTCCGAGCCGAGGCTGGTGGCTGGGCCTCATGGAAAAGGACAGAAGGTGGTGGTGAGAGGGATGCCCCTCTGACCGTCTGTCTGTCTTAGCTCAGGGGCAGAAGGTGGCTGAGCTCCAGTGCTCTTGGCAGAGCAGGAGAAACCAAGCCGCCCCACATGGAGCCGAAGGCACACACTTTCCCACTCCCAGAGCTAAATGGCTTTCCCTGAACCAGTGTGGGGGAGCATGTGCCTCCAGATAGAGGCAGAGAGAAGAGCTGCCCCCACCCCAAAAAACTCCCCAGGTCTCCCAGTTCTCCTAGTTGGCTTGGATGCCCCTCCCGATGGGGCCTCTCTCGGTCACCTTCTGAAAGCAAAGTGAAAGCACTTGGTATCTTGCCTGCCAGGTGGGCCCAGACTCCCTGGCCCAGAATTCTGTTTCCATGCATCTCCCCATCCCCAAATTGTGAGGTCCCAACAGAGGCAGGATGGGCCTCTGCCCGGTTCTTGCCAGCTTGGACCCCGCATGCAGCAGAGGCCAACAGTATCCAATGAGCACAGCCAGCCCCCAAACTTTCTGGCCACCTCATGCCCCCGCCCAGGTCGCAAAGGGCCTTGGCGCCCAGGGGGAGCTCAGGATGGGGGAGGAAGTGCTTTCCCACTCATTTGTGCCCTAAACTACCCCTACTGGCTGCACCCGAGCTACGGGCTGTCCTCGGTGCCCATTGGCTTCCCCGACGGTCTATGTCTGGACAGTTCTACCATGAATGGCAGAAGCCTAGTGAGTCCAGAGCCTCAGCTTTGGGTCAAGAATACAATCGCCGTGGTCCTACCTTTCTGGAAGGCAGGCCGCTCCCTACTGAGAGTTGCCAAGAAATAGGGCTGGGGGAGTTCCCGAACCTACGGTGGGGAGTGTCTCCCTCCTCAGACCCTGGGAGCCTGCTGAGGAGACACCAAGCCTGCTGCCCACATCATCTCATGCCCGGGAGTCTTCTAGCACCGTCCAGGCACAACCCTGGCCCCTCCAGGGGGTTCCTGGACCCTCTCCAGGCCCCAGTCGCCGTTGACAGAGTTGGGGCCTCCCTGGGACAGTCCTGGCTAGAAGGCTCTAGGAAGGTAAGTGAGAACATGACCAGCAAGGGGGCCAAGAGGCCAGGACCCACATCCTCCAGCATGAGTGGCAGGAGATGGGAAAGGGGCCCTACCTGAGAGGGCTGCTGTCAGCAATCCGATGATCGTAGAGAGGAGCCACATGTCTGGGGCCATCTTTGACTGCTACGCGTGCCTGCCCGTGGGAAGGGCCATCCTGGGGCCGGGAGGGGGATGCGATTGCTATGTGTTCCTCACACCCGCTCGGACCTTTGCTCCTTCTGTTTATAACTTTCTCTCTGCAAGAGAGAGAGCACTCCTTTACATGCATGCGACCAAACCCAGCCTCTGAGTGTCTCTTACGCCTCTGTGCTCTACTTGTGGTTTTGGTCTCCAGGAAGCCAGGCTGGTATCACAGGGGTTGGGAGGGAGAGCCCAGCTGCCTCTGCTATGAGCCCACCCAGCCTGGCTGAACCCCAGGAGTCACAGAGTAGGACACACACACACACACATACACATTTCTTCCAACTGTGTCCTAAGGAAACGGGGAGTGGGGGCATGCTCCCTTTCTGGAGACCCGATACATAGTAGATGCTCAACCAATACACATAAGAAGAGAGGACGCATGACCCACGGCCTGTCCCAGTCCTGGAAATCCAGCTCTTCTGGGATAAAATCCCAAAACGTACTTTGTCCTTGGGTGTGTTAATGGCTAGGAAGGAGAGTGTGGTCTTGCACTTTTGAGAGGAGAGAGCCTCAGATTCCCTTCAAAGAATTATCAGTGGAGAAGGGACTGAGGGATGGTTTGTCTCCCCATCTCCTTACAGGCTAGAAATGTCCCCTGAGATGGCACAGGAGGCTACAGGACCACCACCTGCAGGCACTGGGCTGGGTGCTCATTCCTCAGGGAGAGTCAGGCATGGGAGCTGGTCCAGGAAGATTGAGCAGGATTTCAAAATGCAGAGATGGTAGAAGGCCTCTGGAAGGGCCAGAAGGAATAGGAGGAGCAAAAGGCCAGGGCTGCTGGGGAAACGCTGGGTTGTGGGTTTTTTAAATTAAAAAATTTTTTTTTTTATTTTTAAAGAGTTTTTTTTTTTAAAGATTTTATTTATTTATTTGAGAGAGAGAGAATGAGAGAGAGCAAGCACATGAGAGGGGGGAGGGTCAGAGGGAGAAGCAGACTCCCCGCCAAGCAGGGAGCCCGATGTGGGACTCGATCCAGGGACCCCAGGATCATGACCTGAGCCGAAGGCAGTTGCTTAACCAACTGAGCCACCCAGGCGCCCATTGGGTTTTTATTTTTTAAAGGAAGCAGGGGCCTACTGTGGGTTTTTATTTTTTAAAATTTTATTTATTTATTTTAGAGGGGGGCAAGGGAGAGCGTGAGTGGGGGGAGAGGCAGAAGGAGAGGGAGAGAATCACAAGCAGACTGTGCACTGAGCACAGAGCCTGAGTCACGGCTGGATCTCACAACCCTGAGATCGCGACCTGAGCCAAAACCAAGAGTCGGACGCTCAACAGACTGAGCCACCCAGGTGCCCCAGGGATCTAATGTGTTTAATTCACCACTGCACTCCCTGTGGGGCATACTGTAGATGCTGAATGAATGTTGTTGAGTGAATGAAAGAACAGAAAACTTAATTTGCTTGTATAAGCAGTATCCTTTAAGAAATTGAGTCCAGAGGAGATTGGTTCTATTATAGCCCTTCTCTGTATGACCTCTCAGATTTACCTGGCCCGGCCTGACACTTCCCTCCTCCCCATTCGACTTCATTTCCCCATCTGTAGAATGGGGAGGATTTCTCCACTGGGTCCCAGGCCAAGGGGGCATCTGACGTTGCAGGTTTGGGAGCCACAGAGAGCCAGGTCTGTCCACTGTAAACCTTGCCCAGACCTAGGGGGTGGACCTGACTCCGGCACCAGTGGAGGCTGCCCTCTTGTGGAAGGTCACTGGTAGCACAGGCAGCCGATGGGGGCCTCCATCTCCTGGGTTCACTTCCGTTCAACTGACACTTAGGGAGACTTTGGTGTGGGGAATTCTGGCATGGGCTCTGTGGAAGGTGAAGACAGGAAACCATATCCCTGCCCTCAAGGAGCACGGAGCTCACAAACCCACGTGACCCAACCACAGGCCAGGGTAAGATGAACACAAGGAGAGTTCTCCTGCTAATGAGCAGCATCCTAAAAGAAACACAGCTGAATGCGCTAGAGAGGATGGCTAGATTTCCATTTCTGACAATATGATAAGCAGTATATGCCGAAAGTTCTCCTGATACAAAACACCAAAAAAAATGGAGGGGGACAAAATATTTGTAAAAATCTTTAAAAATGCAAAGTTGAGGTGGCAAGAAGGTAACAATAATTATCAGAGGCAAAAATGACAAGAAAACACAAATCCAAAGAGATAATTGAGAGCAGAAGCAGAGGTTGCCTTGAGGTACCTGCTCATCCCAGTTGGCCAAGAACTTCAGTTTAATGAGACGAAACCTAGAGCCTGAGCAAATGAAAAGCAAAATCAGAAACCTACCCCCTAAAGCAAAACCAGTGAAAAACAACATCCACAGTGAATGAACTAAGAAAAAACACCTCTCAAAGGGATCTGACAGAGAATGTGCTTGGCTCAGCATTGACTCTGAGTGGGAGAAAAGGAAATGCTAACCCTAAAGGCTCTTAACCACAAGTCCACCTGCAGTTGGGTCTGAGAGGGAATTCACACTACTTGTGAGGCAAAAACACCACCACCACAAACAAGTAAAGAACAATAGGCGAATTTAAAGCAGATAGCATGGGGCACCTGGGTGGCTCAGTCATTAAGTGTCTGCCTTCGGCTCAGGTCATGATCCCAGGGTCCTGGATTGAGCCCTGCATCGGGCCCCCTGCTCAGCGGGAAGCCTGCTTCTCCCTCTCCCACTCCCCCTGCTTGTGTTCCCTCTCTCGCTATCTCTCTCTGTCAAATAAATAAATACAATCTTTAAAAAATAATAAAGCAGATTGCAGTTCCCAGGGCACTTTGCAGAAACAAATGCAAAAATCCTCTCTGAAGTAAAGTAACTCACCTTAAATTTAAGTCTCAAAGAATTCCCACAGAAAAGTTCCCAGGAATATAAGCTCACATGCACAGAAAGAAAGGAAGGAAGGAAGAAAGAAAGAATAAAACACAGGACACAGGTGTATTAATCAGGGCTTTCCAGAGAAACAGAACATATGGAATTTATATGAGATTTTTAAAAAAGATTTATTTATTTTAGAGAGAAAGAGAGGGTGTTGGAGAGGGTGGAGAGAGAGAACCTTCAAGCAGTCTCCCCACTGAGTGTGGAGTCCAGTGCGGAGCTTGATCCCACAACCCATGAGATCATGACCTGAGCCAAAACCAAGAGTCAGATGCTCAACCAGCTGAGCCACCTAGGAGCCCCTATATGAAATATATTGTAAGGAATTGTCTCAAGTGATTTTGGAAACAAAGTCCCAAGATCTCAGTTGGCGAGCTGGAAATTCAGGGGGAACCAGTGTATCACTTCAGTTCAGGTCCAAAGGCCAGAGAACTGGGAAAACCAATGGTGTAAATTCCAGTCAGAGCCTGAGTCAAAAGGCAGGAGGAAGACTGGTGTCCTAACCTGAAGACAGGCAGAGAGAGACAATTCTATCTTACTCCTTTTTGTCCTATTCAGGACTTCACTGAACAAAACCCATCCACAATGGGGAAGGCAATCTGCTTTACCGAACCTATTGATTCAAGTCTAATCTCACCTAGAAACACCCTCACAAACACACCCAGAATAATGTTTAACCAGATATCTGGGCACCCTACAGATCATTCAAGCTGACACATAAAAGTAACCACCACAACAAGGCACTGTAAGTGAGAATTGCACAAAGCAGTAAGCAACAGACTGAGGCCTTCAAACATTTCAGCTACTGGACTTATGGTGTACATAATATAAAATAAGGATGTTTCTTATGCTTAAAAAAATACAGTTGGTAATTGAGGCTGTAGATAAGGAACAAGAGACTATAGATAAGGAACTAAGTGACCAGGAAGATTTGGGGAAAAAAAATAGTACTTCTATAAATGAAAAATATAATCTTCAAAACTAGCAATCCAATGGATAGATTAAGCAACAGACTAACATAGCCAAAGAGAAAACTAGTGAGTTGGACAGTAGGTCTGAAGAACTTACCCAGAATGCCGCACAGAGAGACAAAAAAGTGTCTAAGAGAAGACTATGAAACAGAAGTTAAGAGACACAGAGGATGGAACAAGGTGAATAGGTCAAATCCAGAACTGATGAAATACCTAGCCCTCAGATCCCAGAAGTTTCCCCACACCCCACCTGTCAAATAAAAAGAAATCTCTCTCAATAAAACTGGGGGGTGGGAGGGAAATAATTTAAAAAAGAATAAAAATGTTTTCATACACATATCAATCAATCAATAAATCTACACCAATCACATGTGGTAACAAGATTGCTACTTGCTAGAAAGAACTACAAAATAGACTTACAGCTAACTTTTTCATGTTAGCAATAGAAGCTGGAAGACAATGGAATACCATCTCAACGTGCCAAGAAAATAAGTCTACCTCAAATATGTTCTAAGAATGAGATTGAATAATCTACAGAAAGGGAGAAGAGATTTGCAAATCATATATCCAATGAGGGGTTAATATCCATAATATGTAAAGAACTCATACAACTCAATAGAAAAAAATTCTGATTAAAAAATGGGCAGAGGATTTGAAAAGACCTTTTTCCAAAGAAGACATTTGAATGGCCAACAGACACATGAAAAGATGTCCAACATCACTAATCATCAGGGAGATGCAAATTAAAACCACAATGAGGTATTACTTCCCACCTGTCAGAATGGCTATTATCAAAAGGACAAAATATAACAAATGCAGGTGAGGATGTAGAGAAAAGGGAACCCTTGTGCACTGTTGCTGGGAATGTAAATTGTTGCGGCTGCTATGGAAAACAGTATCGAGTTTCCTCAAATAATTTAAAATAGGGGCACCTGGGTGACTCAGTCGGTTAAGTGTCTGCCTTTGGCTCAGGTCATGATCCTGAGGTCCTGGGATCCAGCCCTGTGTCAGGCTCCCTGCTCATGGGGAGCCTGCTTCTCCCTCTCCTCCCCACTCATGCTCTCTCTCTTGCTAACTCTGTCTCTCTCAAATAAATAAATAAAAACTTTTTTTTTAAAGATTTTATTTATTTATTTGATAGAGAGAGACACAGCGAGAGAGGGAACACAAGCAGGGGGAGTGGGAGAGGG